ACCGCCGCCCAAATGTTCAAGCAAAGAAAGAAGGCGTAACTTTCATTCTCGATGTAGTATTGTTGACGATGCAGCCATGTCATGAAGACGCTGTGTGCTTCGTTGTGAAAGCGAAACTACTTTGTTTGGTCTTCCAAAAGAGGATGATATCCGCTTCGTCATGCCTAGAGCTGATCTGTGGATCAGTGGACCTGAGCAGTGGATCGCCGGATCGGCTTTCACCGTTTTCACCGCTCCTTCAACGGGACACCTGTTCTCGACCCCGCCACCTCAGCTCACTCTTGCCCGGCCTCAGCTCACGCTAAGCCGGGCTTTCGCTCATGCTAGGCCGCTGTGTTTTTCGTTGTGAAAGCGAAACTACTTTGTTTGGTCTTCCAAAAGAGGACGATATCCACTTCGTCATGCCTAGAGCTGATCTGTGCTGGTCGCTGAGGGAATACATCAACTTAGTGCTGTGGATCGCCGGCACATTTTATGGAGGACTGTTTACTGATCCTGGGAGAATAACGTTAGACTAAAATCGGCAATCAGTTCTGACTCACGTAAGTACGTTTTCATTTAAAGGATTTGCCACTGATGATTCAGATGCGAGTTTTGGGCAGTAGAGTAGCACTTGTTGTTTGTCATTTCTCTGATCACAAATGCAGACAGGGTTTTATGTTTACGCGGCGCGATGCAATGCAACGCGTAAAAAGACAGTATAAGTCATTATAATCCGTAATTATGTCCCCACTGGATGCAACAAATGCCTCGTTTGTAATGGGTTTTAATGTTTTTGTCTCGTTGCTCCAGCTGGGAAACGGGATATACAGTATGGTGAGGGGCGTAACATTTCCGTCTCACGCTTGAGGTATTCGGCCAATCACAACACACTGGACAGCTGGCCAATCACAGCACACCCCGCTTTTTCAGACCGATGAGCTTTATAAAAATCGACGTGTTTCAAAAAGGCGGGGCATGGAGGAGAAACAATAATGTACAGTATGTGGATAATAATGTGTTTATTAACTTTAAACCACATAAACACATTTCATTACACCAAATACACAAAATTATGTTCTTTTTTAGCAGCATCATATGACCCCTTTAAACATTCAGCACGTGAATCACAACAATGGTAACAATTCAATTCCATTTATTTTTATTAATTGTAACAATAACCATTTTATTTGCTCTTTTTGTTCTGCTACTACTGACACAAGACAGCAAATAAAATTGGCAAATAAAATCAACAACTGTAAAACAAAGCAACTGCATAATTTATTCATGCCGCAATGCACTGGGAGTCAGTGAGTAGCTATACTAAGTCATGAGTAAACCTAAATGAAAGGATCAAGTACCCACTACAGTTTTTTTTTAGTTACTAGAACTGTCGTGTAAGTAAACTATACTAAGCATTTGTCAGTACAACATACTATTCCTATTTCACTTTACTTAGTTTTTTCAAGGCAATCGGTTTGCATGCTTTTTTTAAGTAAGACCAACTAATTAGATTTTACAGTGTGGATGTGCACTTCAGAATTAGTGGAAGTAGTAGTTCATCCAGGTACTTTTTGGTTATTGTGTTTACGAATACTGTGAATTCAGACACTACTTTTCATATACTGTTCGCATATAGTAGGAAATAAAGTCGGGAAGTAGACCTATTAGAGACATTAATTAGATTCTAATATATATATATATATATATATATATATATATATATATATATATATATATATATATATATCCCATTAGTCTTCTGGGTTTTTATGTAACAGCTGTTCTTTATCAATATATCAAAATGACACAGGCAGCACATAGGGCTATATGCACTGACACAAGATGATACCTTTTTATTTGAGAGATAATCACCCGGTTGCAAAGCATACAACTTAAAGTCCCCCTGTGGTCAAATATTTTATCCCTTAAAACTTATCTATCAAAATGACATAATTAAATGTTTTTTCTTGTGAAAATAATGCCTTATGCCTTAAAATAGCTTGAATGTAACTCTACACTCTTGCCTCATTTACTATATGCTGATCTATGAATATGCAAATGAGTCCCGCCTCCACTCAGTCACATCAGCCAGTGCCTCCTGATCTACTGAACTGTAGTAAACGCAAAACAATGGCATACACGGATAATGACTGATAAAACTATGTTTTTACTAGCGGACAACTACAGTGAATACTGTAACATTCATTATAGTTACTTACTTGACGATGTTGTGTCCTAAAATGCCTTGAAGACTCGAATGCAGCCGTTTGTGATTCTTTTTTGCTTTAATTTATTTTTGGTTTTGTGCTGGTATTGGTATATTTTGCATGCTAGTGATAGGAATCGATCCCTTGACGTGATTGGTTATTGGATTGTGACGTAGCAAACTGAGGGCTGTTTCAAACCGCATTTCTGGGTCAGCCTTTGGGAAACTACAGTTTTAAGGAGAAAATACTCAGCAATGGTGTTGATGAATGGATTGGCACATGGTTTGTCTAAAAGCATATTAAAAACACCACATATACAAATAAACAACATATAAAATTAGATTTTCACCACAGGGGGACTTTAAGAGTGCACATATGCAGGTATCTACTGAAGGTAAGGTTGGGCAGCCCACTCGAGGCTGTAGCAAACACCCCCCCCAAGAACACTAATAAAACAATGGATCTGACACAATAATCATTACAAAAACACTAATTTAAATAAAATGACTGCACATTTAGAATTAATATACAATATATCACATTCTGCAACAGCGCTGATCTAAGTAAAAAAAAAACGTGAGAAGAAAAGCAAGAAAAACCAGTAAAGAGCAAGACAGCAGTAGACTCACTGTGACATCACTCATCTCAGCCTTTTTTTTTTTCTTTTTTTACAACAGTCGGCTCTACAGTCACAGGAAAACCTCCCGGCCTGACATCCCTCTCTCTCTCTCTCTCTCGCTCCTTCGCTGGTTAAACTGCTAGACGGGTAGTTTACAGTCTCGGGCTCAACGGTCTAAACGCTGCTCAATCAAACAAGCTTCTCTTGTTCTCTCCTCTCCTTCACTTTTACTTTGAGCGAGTACTTCAGCAAAACGAGTGAAAGTTTCCAGGAAATTCCTTTTAAAGGAAGAGGAAATGACATTGGCCAGGTATTCTCCAATAGAGATTTATTTCCTGTTGACACTAGTCAACAATAGGATTTGGCGTTGCGCCATAAAGAGGGAGAACTGGAAAAGAGTGACCTTTCTCTCAGCTTTTCACGCTTAAATCACCTAGTGTAATTTTAACCCTGGTATAATATAACCCTTGCTTATCTAATTAATCCTGGATAGTCAGGTTTTGTAATTTCACACTGTACACTGTAAACCCAGGTTAACATACTTATATATGCATTTACAAAATGAATAACCAGGCATGTGATCAGCTAAGATTAGGTTGATCAGCTTTTTTTTCCTTTTTTTTTTTTTAGTATTGTTATTATTAGGGGCCAAGCACCTAATGCATCTCTTCTTCTTCTTTGTCATTTTCTTTTCTTTCTTTTTTTACTTCTCTTGAGTCTATGGCAGCCCATAGAACTGCTTGCAGCAAAGTTATGCAATTTAACACAGAGATAGAGGTCTCAATATTAAACATAGCAAATTCGGAGTCTCTAACTCAAACTCTCCCCCATCAGGCTAGATGTGCATTTATGTTTATGCTAGTAACTTCATGGCTCAGGCCGAACTGAAAAAAAGAGTGCTATTGTCTTTTTGCTACGCACCCACTGGGAAAAAGAAATTCCTATCTTAAAGAGCTGATAAAAACATCACAATAATCCACAAATAATAATAATAATAAGAAGAAAAAAAGAACAAAGCTGTGTGTTTGCTATAAGTGTATCTTTAAGATGTTTTAACTTCAAACTGTTGATTCTGGCCTAAAAAAGTCCATAATCCATAATAATGCTTCCTTCAGTGAAAAAGTCCCCTGTTGTCTTCTCACATCAAAATCTACAGATATATTTGCTTAGAATGGGTTTGGACTGTTTTCATTTACATTTAGTCATTTAGCTGACGCTTTTATCCAAAGCGACTTACAAATGAGGACAATAGAAGTTAGCTTAACGCAGTAGACGTAGCAAGGTTTTTTTCTAGTTGTAATAGTGCATATTTCCCTTTTCTTTCAGACAAGACAAATTTTTCACCGGAGAAAGCATTACTATGAGCTTGTATTTTAGCCGGAAACAATTTTAGCCAGTTTAAAGTTCATCTTGATGAATTTGTTTATTACAGACAGCTTTTTGCTTCATAAGACATTAATTGATCAACTGGAGTCATGTGGGTTACTTGTGGATTTTTTTATAATCAGATGTTTGGACTCTCATTCTGACGGCACCCATTCACTGCAGAGCATCCACTGGTGATCAAGTGATTTAAAGCTACATTTCTCCAAATCTGTTCAGAAAGAACCAACTCATCTACATCTCGGATTGCCTGACGGAGAGTACATTTTCAGCAAATTGTCATCTTTGGCAAACTATTTCTTTAAAGTCAAGTTCATTATGTGTGGACTCACAGAGATTAATTATTTTTTCTAAAAATCTCTGTTTGTGTTCCACAGAAGAAATTAAGTTATTTACACCTGGAATGCCATGGGGTTGAGTAAATGACCAGAGAATTTTAATTTTTGGGTTGGATTTGGATTTGAAGGCCATTTTGAGATGCATGTGGATCATACTTCTCAGGTCTGAAAAATACAGAAAACCGTACAAATCTGGGAAAATCGCAATTGAATAATGTTGCCTGAAGAAGTACCCTACAGCACTCAACATCTATAAGTAAATGTTTTTCAATCTAGAAGACATTTCAGCACTTTTCGATAGTTCACCCCAAAATGTTTCATTCCAAACACTTCATGACTTTCTTGCATCTGTGAAACACAGTTTTGGTTACCATTGACTTCAATTGTGTGGACCAAAAAATAAATAAATAAATAAATAAAAATCACTATATAACAATATAGAAACAAAATGTGTGTGAAGTAGGTTCTTACCTGTTCTTTGACAGAAGCCAGGATATTGGTGGCAGTGCTGTGAAGCGATGGCACAGCAGCTTCCGGTGAGCCTGGGCTTGGCTTCGGAGCTGGCATTCCTCCTGTCAACACACAGCATATGCCTGTGATTTCAACATTCACAAGAGCTCATGGAAGAGGTGGTTGAACTGGTTTATACCATACAAAAGTACACTAAACACAAATATTTGGTGTAAATATTCATTCAAACAGAAACAATGGATTGCTACAGAGATGCTACTGATACCACTACATCACATGAAAAAAAAACGTGGCATTAAAAATGAACTGTAGCTATGGCTTTTGCACTCTATAGACTAGAGCAGAAGCTCAAAAATGACTATAATAAAATGTCTGAATGTCTGCAATTCATGAATCGAGGAGTAACGATACAATCATGTCACAATTTAGTTTGGTGCACAATATGATACTTTAAACAAAGCTCCAAAGTGAATGAATGAAAAATTAAATAAAGTAGTTAAAAGGAAGTTCTGACTTCTAAGACATAAGTTAAACACATAAGTTAAGCAGAATTGTGCAACATACATATGATCCGTCAGTTTACTTACATTAAAAAGTGTTAAATATTGTACAGTTTAAAAAGCTTTGTCACTTATTTTCAGATACCTTTAAAATAATGTTTTAATGGCAGTGCATGATTATTTAGTAAAATAATGGCCCTATTTTAATTTTCTAGTAAAATGAGACATTTGCCATGTTCTAGACCAACAAATTGCAATTGTCCCATTGCATTTTAGATATTATATTCAGCATTATATATAGTAGTTTACAAGTCTACACCTGGCACTAACATGCATTTTTTGCTATTGGATCAGAAGTGGTTAGCAGATACAGGTGGAAACAAGAAAACACACATGGAGGTAGTCAGAAACACAAACCATTCACACCACACCGACAGACACAGACACATTCATCGGGTTCTGTCTTATCAGTGTGTTAGCCCTGCTGGCATTGGTCGGCACTTGTTATCACCGACTGAACATGTTGAATCAGCGTTTGTCGGTCTTGGAACGTCTGAGAAGTGACGTATTGCCAGTGTTGGGGAAAGTTACTTTTAAAAGTATTTTTAAAATTAAAAATTAAAAACAAATTTTGGCAAATATAAAAGCCTTTTTACACCAAAAGTTAAATGAATAAGCCTCAGGCTGAAGGGAAAGTAAATTTACGTCCGTACAGTACAATGCAGAAGAAGAAATTTTAACACACTTTAGCAATAAAAAAAGACACAGATGTTTGTCTAGAGTAATTTTTGCTTATTAGTATGGTTGAACTGAATCATTGAAGGTCAGAAGCAAAGACATTGTTAATAGAATGGGATTAAATACATAAAGGATATTGTGTTGTTTAATATTTAATTATTGCAGGTTTGCGTCATATTCTGAGTTGCATTATTTTTATTCATTTTGAGGAATACTGAATCTGTTTTTGAGTGAGATGAATTAATGCATATTCATATTTATTTTAGAACTACAGTAACATCTTCTGGTTTCTCTCAACATGGGGACAGGAGAGCTGTCAATCAATAAATTGGAAAAAAAAGTAACTCAGATATTCTCTTGTAAATTAAAAAGTAATGCGTTACTTCACTAGTTACTTGAAAAAAGTAATTGATTACGTAACTCGTGTTACTTGTAATGTGTTACCCCCAACACTACATATTGCACTCAGTTGGTTGTTGGTCTGTTAACTCTAGGGGCAATGATTCTAAACCGGGGTGTTTTTAGGGGCGTGAAATTCAAATGGCGATTGTTTTCAGACGCCACATTTATCAACATACAATCATTGAGACTGGTGGTATACGAATGTTTCATGACTCACACATGAACTCTGTCGTAAGTTGATCTGTGCACACGGATCTGCACTCGTTTCTACGTTAGATTGATAAATGAGGCCCAATGTGTTTTATCAGCAATCGTGTCACGTTTAAACTAAAAAAAAAAAAACTTAAAGGGGTGATATGATTGCACTAAAAAGAACATTATTTTGTGTATTTGGTGTAATGAAATGTGTTTATGCGGTTTAAGGTTCTAAAAACACATTATTTTACACATACTGTACATTATTGTTTCTCCTCTATGCCCCGCCTTTCTGAGACGCGTCGATTTTTACAAAGCTCATTGTTCTGAAAAGCGAGGTGTGCTCTGATTGGCCAGCTATCCAGTGCGTTGAGATTGGCTGAATACCTCAAGCGTGTGACAGAAATGTTATGCCCTTTACCATACTGTGATGCCCTGTCCGGCTGGAGCGACAAGACAAAAACATTAAAACCCATTATAAACGAGGCATTTGTTGCATCCAGTGGGGACATAATTACGGATTATAATGACTTATACTGTCTTTTTACGCATTGCGTTGCATCGCGCTGCATAAACATAAAACCATCGGAGAAATGACAAACAACAAGTGCTACTCTACACTGCTCAAAACTCGAGTTTGAATCGTCAGTGGCAAATTCTTTAAAAATAAAAAACATACTTACAGTCTGTGAGTCAGAACAGCCGGCATTGTAGTCTACTCTACCAGGATCAGAAAACAGTCCTCCATAAAATGCGCTGCACACACATGAATATTTGGGTTAAACTGTTCTGGAACAGTGTTGTAAATACAACTTAACCACTGATTTCTAGTCGTGTCCTCTTTTGGAAGGCCAAACAAAGTAGTTTCGCTTTCACAATGAAACACAGCGCCTTCACGACATGGTGGCGGCGGCAACAACAATACTACAGCGAGAATAAAAGTTACGCCTTCTTTCTTTGCGTGAACATTTGGGCTGGCGTTGTGCAAATCTTCCCACATCTTGACGTAGACATGTGGGGGCATGTTAAAACGAGCCTTTTTAGGTAGGCGTGGTTAACTCTTAACTTTTATAAAGAATATCTCTTTGGATTTGAGACTTTAGTCTTTACAACTTTACAGATCTTCTTTATGCACCAAGAGCTTGTAACACTCCAAAGAAGAGCCCGATATGAGCCTGTGAATGTGCCACCAATATGAAATTTTTTTTTACAGAACATATAATGCAGATAAAATGCTTGAAACGGTGTAATTACTTAGTTTGTCCAGCAGAGCTACTCCATTGTTTGCTACTGGCGACCTGGATGAAACGCTTTAAAGCTTAAGTCTATGTAAAACAATTGAACCTAACCGATCTAGCGATCCCAGGGGGCTATCGACGCGCGGAGGGTGGCGTTCGAGAGGGCTCCTCGAGCTGAAGGTATCCCCCGAATTTGGTGGAGATCCGCCGGCACGTTCGCGAGATAGTGACACCAGTCAACACTTTCCCTTCAGTAAGGACTTGTTCCGGCAACAGCATTCAAGCGTGGTCTTATTCGACCGTAAGTGCCCTGCGAAGTGGACTTCACATGAAATTCCGCCATGATTCCAGTTCCAAGGGAACGTACACGTTACATTCAAAGGGCATTAAAGTGCGCGAGACGTGAATTTATATTGTATTTATTTACAGAGGTAGGGGAGAGCGGGGCACAAAGTAACACTTTTTGACTTTCTCAGTTTGTGTAAATCCACATGGGGTTCAGATTCTGAAAATTACTGTGGATAAAAAATATATATATTCTGAAGTTTATCCACAGTAATTTTCAGAATCTGAACCCTAAGTAATTCTACACTTGTCTATGCAAAAATGCTTTACATGTCTTGAAATAATCATTTCTAAACATTAAACATTGACTGTCAGTCTTTATTCCCCTGTTTCTCATTGTTTCTCGTTAAAATTAATTAAAGTAAATAGTGTAAATTACACTAATAGGGGAGCGCGATGCACAAAGTGTGTATTACATTTGAAATATGTATATTTTTCTTACAAAAATGCATGGATTCGCTACAGGAGGCTTTTATTCTCCCCCCGGAGCCGTGTGAGGCACGTTTTATTATGGATGCGCACGCTTTATTTAACGTGTTTTGGACTGTTGAACAGAAACACCCGCCCACTGCAATGATAACACTTAGAACTGACAAGATCATTTTTAATATAACTCAGATTGGATTCGTCTGAAAGAAGGAAGTCATATACACCTAGGGTGCCTTGAGGTTGAGTAAATAACAGGCTAATTTTCATTTTTGGGTGAACTAACCCTTTAAGCTGCTTCGAACAACAAACAATTCATATCCCCTTGTTAAGTCGTGACGTAAGGAATGCTGTTTCCAGGTCCATGCCTCTACTCGTTTCACTTGAGAATACTACTCAACAGCTGTGTATGAGTATTTATTCATATTACACATTTAGCCCAAGTAAAACATTTAAAAACCCTACGGTGTACACTAGTCTCCATGCTCACAGCATCCCAGACACAAATATTTAATGATTTATAGAAGATGAATCATTGTCTGGCCATCTGGGATTTCAGTATGGAGATAAAGATTATAATTTTTCTGTAGTATTAGGCCTACATCACATAGTGAGTGCATGTGTGTAGCACAATTTACCCAATTGCATCAGCAAAGCATCCATTACACTTTTTTTTTTCTCCATGCATTAATGTTTGTGATGTTATGACTGTCTGACTTCTTGACACTTGGGTAGAATTCCCCTTCATTTCTCATCTTCTACCATTGTATATGCCCCCGGTTTCACAGACCAGATTTATGCTAAGTCCCAGACTAAAATGCATGTCTGGGCTGCTTTGACTGAAAGAAACTTGCACTGACATATCTTAAAAATATTTTAGCGCCATTGATTTGTCTGAAGATGCACACCAGTAATGTTTTTTTTTTCTAAGGCACGTTTATAAAAGATACTTAAATGTCCTAATTGAACTATGGCCTAATCCTGGCTTAACCTAAGCCCTGTCTGTGAAACCAGGCCTTAGTCTTTAAACATAACCTGAGCTTGGGCTTTCTGATGTTTGCTCAGTAACAAACTATGATAAACAGCTTTTAAAGTCATTTATAGAGGTCGACTGATAGTGGATTTTGCCGATACCGATAGCTAGGTTGAACCACACTGGCCGATACCAATTAATTAACTGATAGTTTTAAAATTGATACTGAACAAAAACTAAAATAGTGCTTTATTAACAAAAACAGTACTGAACTATTCTAGTAG